AGAACTGGAAGAATTTTAGAGGCATCGATTGCTTTGAAAAATAAATTATTTTCTTGTAGTTTAGTTTTGCAGGAAATATCATAGGTATAATCAAAAGTTGGATTCCCATAAGATATATATTATTGTCAAAGTTTGTCCTCTTGTAATACTTGACAATGAAGAGAGTCGTAAAAAAATATTAAGGTCACAAAACTCGTTACGAAAAGGTTATTGTGAAAATGTTTATTGAAACTGTTAACGAATTTAATAAAAGTTTTTGAATGGAAGTAGCCTATAAGGCAGTTTTTACACCAAGAGAGAAAAATAGGTTTGCGCTTATAAATATACACTCTCATAATAGCATGTTTTCGAGTAAATTGGTAGTAAAGGCAGTCGAGGCAGAGGAGGAAGAAAATTGGTGAACATTGACATAAAGGGTGAAAGAGATTTCAAACACAAGTGAATAGACTGGTATTTCAAAAATATGTGATCCCTGAGATTAAACGATCAGTTAGTGGATAGGTGAAGCAATACTGCCCTGGTGAAGGAAAAAACGAATGTCATTTTAACCACAATTCCAATTTATCAGAAACAACTTAGAGGTTCGGAAGGATTAGATTCACGTAGTACTTGATATAAATTAGAGCATTGCACAAATAATAGGTTTTAAAAGTGGATCGGGTGGAACGAGGTGACAATCTATAAATTTATCTTAAAAAACCTTCAAAAGGTAAAACCCTAATTAAAGTTTTTTACAGAGTTAAAAGTCTTTTAAAAGGTGTTGCCTCAGCAGGCCGAATTAGTGTAGTTTGCTTAATATATATAGAGAGGTTTTAAATTATTGTTGGAGGGGCCGAAGTGCAGAAGCTTAGGCTGGATTCCGAGACGTGTAGTTGAAAAGTGGGGAAAATAAAGTTTAGGGGTTCAAATAGTTTGATACTAATTTTACCCATTGTAACACTAACCTCCAAAAAGCGGAGGAAAACATAATCGATAGATTGAACCATTTTATGTCAAATATCGATCTGTCATTAAAAAAAAAAATCGAGAAGATTATAAAAAATAACTTTAGTTTTATGACTTCAAACATATATGATGGTATAAGTGGTCATACAGTTAAGAGAGCAAGGGGTTGAGGAGGTTGATATATGATGTAATAAACACAACTGGTTGTTTGAGGATGTAAGACATATGCGGTGGTTTTGCCCGAAGTCATTAAATTTATAAAAATTAATTTTTTTATTGAAAGGAAATTATAAGACGTAATAATCCTTCAAACAAAAGATGAGTTTTGACAAGATTCATATATGATGGTCTAATGCTTAAATAAGGTTGGGGGTATTATTTGGTTCGAGTCATTTACTCTAGGTTACTTGGAAGGATAAAAATGGATAAATACTTTAGTGCGACATGTTATCAAAACGATTGCGAACTTACGTATGGATTAAACCACCACTCCCCCCGACGCAAAAAAAATCCTCCTTCTCAGTCGTGCGATCTCATAAATTGCACGACCGAAATTGGGCGCGCTCTCGTAATGGCCAGCTCCAAAAGGAGCTAGACCAGGTTGGGCACTTGTCAAATTCGTTTCTTGCATCTGCGACATAACGGTCTGTCTTGTTTACCTACTGGCTGACTCCTATTACGATAGTAATACAAGCAACTCTTGTATAAGAAGAGTTTGCCCAGTCGCTAGGCTGCTCCCACGTAGCCCAACAGACTCTGAGGCTCGGGTGTGCAGGAACCACCAATCCCCTCTTTCCCTTGGTTGAGCATCGAGCCCCCTGACTAGGTGCCCTACCTTTGCCATCCTTTACCAGACCCACGCTTGGCCTCGCCAGAATACAAAGGTCGGTCGTGGCTTCAAGGGGGCCGCGCTTTCATGACTCAACTGCAATTTACACGCCCCAAACCTTACGGTAACCGCGCACCCTCGGGCGGTGCTACTTGTAAATTCCCCAAGCTCTGAATCGTGCGACTGTTATTCTAAATACGATAGGTATATATCTGTGTAGCATCGCGTTCGGGCTCAGTGGCCGAACCCAAATGCTTGGTACCGAGCCCGAACGTGGCCTAAAATAGACCGAGCCCGATCACTTTTTTATTTTTTATTTTTATATTTTATTATTTTTATATATATAGGGGTTGGGGGGACCTGGGGGGCATTGCTCACCACTCCTGAACATACATGCATACACACCACACACACACACACACACCCCCCATACACCCCCCACACACACCCCACACACCACACGCACACGAGGACTCGCTCGGCGGCCCCCTAATTTGCGCTTGGCCGAACATATTCGGTGTGCTACACACACACATATATATATATATATATATATATATATATATATATATATATATATATATATATATATATATATATATATATATATTCCCACGATCGCACATCCATGCGGCTTTACCAAATACGAGGAAAGACTGATCACGCCGCCGGTTCTTGTCGTCACTTCTAGATGCCGCAAGCGTCAGGTCTTAGGTTCAAAAAATTTTAATCTCTCATTCATCAAGATATAGAGCCCGGATAACCCTTTATTAGGCCGGACATCGTCCGCCATTTAAGAACACCGGGCAGATACCCTTGTCAGGGTTTTTACCCAGACAACGCCGTTTCACGAGGGTTACCGGTAGCATAGAGTGGAAAACCGAGTGAATGGCAAAAATGGAGTTTGCGTCAAAAATTTGGAAATGTGCCAAATCGGCGCGGTGATTATTTCACGGTCAAAGCAATTTATTTACTTATTCAAATATTTTTCCTTGAAAGATCACAACCTAATCTACGGACCCTCAAAATTTCAGAAATTTTCAAGATTTCTTCTGAGCACGAAAATCGCCAAAGTTGTGACTTTCAAATGGCGGGATTGGACCTGCCAGTGACGAACGGTCGTCACCCCCATGTAGAACCTGGCCTTAACTGGTAGGGCCGAGGGTTTTCGATTGTCGGGGGGAGTAATGGTTTAAATCAAAGTTCAATGGATGTGGAAAGCGGGTAAAAGGAGGGAGCAAAGGACTATTATGGTTTGATAATAAATATGCGAGAAACAAAGAGTTAGCATCCGTTAGATCAGAAAATGGTACTGTCTTTATGGCCATCTCAATATGGGGTCTTGGTCTAGTACTCTCAACTGAAAATTTTCCTCGACTCCTTGGGGAGCAGCCAAACTTTTAAAAATGTTGAAAAATTGCATTGCTCCCCTTACTTTTTCATATATATAAAAGGTAAACTGTATTCTTCTTTCAATATCTCTCTGTATATTTTCCTCATCGGTCCTCTCGCTACTTTATGTACATTACGGGAAAACACCAACAACCTGGATCTCTCCCCAGCCCAGGGGGTAGGTTTGCACCACGGGTGGTGCGAGAGCAAGGCTGCACCAGCCCCTCATCATGGTGATGCGGGGGGAAGCCAGCAGTGCTAGTGCCGAGCACTATGGCCTCCTGCCTTCCCCCCCCAGCCCCACATTAGCGGTGTCTAATAGCCGATATCATCATTGCACAGCATCTAACAATATTCGCCGAGGTCCTGCCAATGCTGGCCGGGGGGGCCAACGGGCTATCTCTGGATGGTAGGACACCAAGCGTGCCCAGGCACTTAACGTAAATTGAACCCGCAACCTCCTAAATGTAACTCGTGTGACTTACCTACTGAGCTACTTTCCAAAATAGGTTTCGAGAGTAAAGCCACTTTGAAAAGATAATAAAAAGTGTGCAAGTTCAACCATGACTGAAGGTTTACTCTCGAAAACGTTGGTCCTATGCATGGTCCGATAAACGTCTTTCGTAAAAAATGCCAACTCTCAAAATCATGGTAGAGAGTACTCTAGAAGCCCACGCTCAAACTTTAACTTTTCGGTCAGCATTTTCAAGGCTAAGTGGAGCATTGCCCTACTCTTGAATTCTCACATTTCGAGGGTAGTAGTGGAGTGAGACTCTTACTACCAGTATGTTTCCCAGCTATGATTTCGGTTGTGGCTTGCATGCAGCAGCAGCTTTCTAGGCTGGGAGGCCTGTCTTTTCCTTTTCTTTGGCGCGCAGAGCTTTTCCAGCCCATACTTGTGGTGTGCACCATGCTACAGGGGAACCCTTGTGGTTCCAACCAGCCCTTAGAGGTGTAAGAATTAGATAGTAGAATAGATAGTTAGGTGGCAGGGCGTAGGTAAATAGGTGGTCTGGTTTCCTTCCTTGTTTGGGTTGGGCTGAGTCATGCTTTCAGTATACTATGGTAGGGGCGAGGTCCCATTAGGATGTCCGTAGATAATCAAGATCCTGCAAGCGGAACCTTGCCCCTGGTTGAATTGTGAGGTCCTCGATACAATGTTTTTTCTTTTGAATGTACTTGGTTGATTTTCCCAAAAACCAAAAAATCCTCTGTGTATCGTTCCAACTTTACCGGATGCCCCAAAGCAGACACGCGCCATTTCTCACAGCCGGGGGGCCAGCTGTGATGGCGTTGTGTGCCGCTTTGCGGCTGTCCGGACTGTCAAAAGTCGGAAAACAGAAAAGTCAAATGCTATAGGACACCCGCAAGTGTCAACAGGTACGACACTCCCTCAGGACCTCAACCTTAGCGAGGAAGAAGATCCGGCGCTGGTGCTCCTTGGATTCCATCGAAATCCGCTCTCGGTTTGGAGGTAGGACGCCAGCACGTTGAGGATCCGTATACGAGCCGCCGGGCGCGGACCACACCGAGGTTTGAGCCGCAGCCGCTACCGGCGGGGCTACCGGAAGGCAAGGGGTAAGAGCTGAGCGGGCAAGAGGAGGGAGCGCGGGAGAGGAGAATTCGGGCAGCGCGTGGCGGGAACGTGGGAGGAGTCCTGAAACCACTCGCGGCGGGGAGAAGGAAGGCGAGCTAAAAGGCCAGCAGGCCATCCATAGCTTCGTCTGTACGAACGCGGCTTGGGTACGGAGCGCAGGAGGTCCGCTGCGATCCGAGCCAGGTGCTAGGAATACGCGGGGGCTAGGTCCCACTTACACGAATTAAGCGATATTGACCGTACATAGCAAATATCAACGGCCAGAATCTCTTAATCCGTGCAAGTGGGACCTTGCCCCGGGTTACGACATCGAATTTTGACACTTGGCCGGCAGGTGGTTTGGCGGGCGAGAAGAGGGAGGAGAGGAAAGTTTTGGACGCTTGTTTTTGGCGGGTGTTCGGAAAAATCGACAAAGCGCCAGAAAAGAAGCGCACATGCTTGAGAGCCGACTCAGACTCAGATCGTAGGTAGGACAGATGATAGCCACACACGCCCGAGGGGGCATAGCAGAGCGGGACGGTGCGCTAAACCGCGCGCGGGTTGTTTGTGAACACGACTGTCTTCTTCGGTTTCTCTTTCTCAAGACCCCCTCCCGCGTCCCACCTTGTTGTTTCTCTCTTCTCGCCTGCCCGCCGGCCTCAATCTCTCTCACTATCTCTATTTGTGTCTATATCGGTCGTGGAAGCTCGCTCTCATCGCCCCTGTAGCCTTCCGATCGCCTGTGGTCTTTAACCAGCCATAACCACAGTTGATTGAGTTGCTCCGCATCGCCACCATACCGCACTCTTTCTGTGGTTCTTTTTCGCCGTCGCCTTTTTTTTTCCTGAAATATTCACAGATCCATCCGTCCATCAATCAGTCCCATCTTGCCGCTAATCAATTAATTAAGTTATTAAAATTTGTCTCTATTATTAGTGTTCTAGCTGTGATTTCACCTTTGTATATACCTCTTGATTTACCCTTTATTCGGGGAGTTGGGTGGGTGAAGGGGGGAGTGTATTTCCTGCTTGACTCCCATTAGTTGACAGCGATCGACATCTGTGACTATAAAATTTGCAGCCCTCTCTCTCTCTCTCTCTCTCTCTCTCTCCGGTGTCCTATTTCTCTTTTAATTTCATTTCTTTTGCCTTCTCTCGCTTCTCGTTTCTCCCCCCTCCTTCCCCCCCCCTCTCCATGCTCTCCTCCCCCTTTCCGTGCTCTAGATTCTGGGATATTCCCTCTCCCGAATCCTCTGCCTTCTGATCGGAGACTATGTCTCTGCTTGCCAGCTCTTGTTTCACTTTTTCATTTCATTCCCTCGGCCTTCTCTCGCCTTCCCCGCCCCCTTTCTGCGCTCTGAGTTCTGTCATACTCCGTCCGAGTCCCCCGTCTTCTGATCGGATGTTATGTCTCCGCCTACCAGCTCCATCCAACTGAAGACGAGATGGTTGATGATGCAGAGAGCGCTCTCAGTGCCGTACAGGAGCTGTCCAGGTTGTGGTAATTGCCCTCTTCTAGCTGCTTCGTCGATCTGGTCAGCATGAGTGGTTTTCGTGTATGATTCGTTGCCCCCCACCCCACAAGTAATATTGGGAGACGCTACTCTCGGCAAAGGCACAGAAGGGGCGGCTGAGTGAATGTGGAAGACAAAGTAGGCGGGCAACGCGTATTGGACTCTGGGAAGAACGGAAGAAGAAGAGAGGGAGAGAGGAGGGAGAAACCACAGAGGGAGGGCGAAAACGGAGACAGGGAGAAGGAAAGAAAGCGGGGTATCGGGTGGGTGAGAGAAGGTGGGGGGCGTGGGTGGAGGGAGGAAAAGGTGGAGGGAGGAGGGAGGAGGAAGTGGAGGGAGGAGGAGGAATAACAGGTTAAACCATGGTGATGAGGGTGATACGATGGCCGCTTCGGTCGTCGTGCTGCAAAAAGTTTTCGGTGACGTTGAAGGTGGCGTCTCTTCATGGTTTGCCCCTTGGGGACGATGAAAGGTCAGCGGCAGTCTTAGTCGATGTGAAATGGAAAGGGGCAAAGGGGGGGAGTTTAGGGTCGAGATTCCGGAGAAATCCGAAACGAGCGAGAACAAAGCTACAGCCTTTGAGGGAAGATAGCGCTAATTGGAATTTTGAACTGCAACATGAGTGCATATTTACAGAGGGTAAAGCAGCAGGATACGAGCCGTGGGAAGTCTGCTTCGTTGTAAGAAAGGTAAGAGCTGGTCTTTTGGCTATCTCGGCTAGATTGTACCTCGAGACCGACGCAGATACCGCCTTTCTCTCTCTCTTTGCCTTCCCTTCCCTCCTCCAGCCCCCTCCAACCC